CAATAGAAAGGTCAGTATTCCTGAGGTCTAGCGACCACAGTTATAAAATGCTAACCTGTCAAATTCGATCATATTGAAAATACCAACYTTTCAAACCGCGCGACCGCCAGCAGCTATAAACAGGAAAACTGCGAAATAGCTTTCAAAAGCGCTCCTTTGTGACTTGTTTGATGTCAATTAATAAGGTTCATTTTTTTGAAGTCATTAGATGTTCGTCCTCATAAACAACATGGTCGCGTCGGCACTGAAAAGGGCCAAGACAAGGTAAGTGTCAATTTTAGTACCATAACGTTAATGATAAAGTGTATAAATCGTCAGTGTACAGCTTGTTACTGGTGCACATGATAACCAACCAGTTTTCATGCTTATACAGCAGATTACACCTTTTTAGCTTGGGCGCAATGTTTTCCAATCTTAAACCACGTTTCATCCCCTACATTATCGTTTCCTTGTTTAATGGTTGCACATCAGAAGGCAAATGAATAATGGATACAACTCAAACTTCTCTAGGGAATGACACGTGGTCTGAAATGGGAAAACATTACGGCCAATCTAAAGAGGTTTTGAACGTTCTTGTGCTGTAAACRATCGTTTTGATTGCTTTCTCTAATGAATGCGGATCAATATTTTATGAATAACAAATTATACTCGACAGGGGATGATCTCACTGGCGCCGGTACAAGGCTCGTCTTCCTACAAACCTTTCATGGATGTGCGTCTTCAACCACTACAAAAAAAGAACATTTCTCAGCTTTCAAATGCATACCCAACCATGGCGTACCCTAAAGCACTGTCTCCTGAGCCGCAGCACTTCAGTCCTCCACCTCAATGGCTAGGCACAACTCAATTCCAGCCATRTTCTCACAAGAATCCCGTCTCAGAGCCTTCGAATTTCGTGTCAAATATTACGGAAAGAGCTATTAGTCCAGGAGCAGAAATTTTAGCACCTTTGCCGAAGAGATCTTCGCGACCACCATCGGAAATCGATGAAGTGACAATCGATGATCGTGAGTTTCGTACGCCAGGTCATTTAAGACCCATAAATTCAAATAAAAATTCCACGAATAATAGTGGAAAAGGACAGCCTGACCTGAATGATCTGAAGGAAACTCCATTATAGCGAAGATGAGTAAATGAACGACGTACGTCGCACTCATTGTTCCCATTCTCTTACCTTTAATTTATAACCAAGACCGCTAGGAACGTTGGGAAAGTCACATATCTTCACAAAGAGAAAAAAATTGGGAACTAGGCTGCCTTTCGCCGAACTGTGAAAGAATGTTTTTATCAATGGAGAAACGTCTCACGCATTTGTCAGGAGCGCTGCTCCTGGGTACGATGTCAAGGGTTGTTTTAGTTAACATAGATAATGTATTCATATGAAGTTAATAACGTATCCATGTTTTATAAATTAATATATGTACTTGTAATGGACGTGGKGTTTGGGTCTTGTCTGGCGAACCCAGTCTTTATCGCGGAGGGGCTTATCCAGGGTATCCTAGGGTGCCTGCAAATGAACACTCCTTCAGTTCCCCATTCGTGTTTCAAACAGATGCCTTTGTTGAGTTTAGTACTGGGTGATTCCTATGTGAATCTTGGATATGCCCCTTACTTGAACAGAGGAGGTATCTATGCTTTGGTGCACTATTTATTCATATATGTATATATATATTTCTCCGATGTTTCAATTGCCGATGTGTTCTAGCACTGATTCTTATCATATCAGAGCTTTTTTTAATGAATATTATATTTTGGAGATTAATAAAGGACTGATTCAAGCTAAGCTTGTTTTTTTTTTTTTTTTTTTTTTTTTTTTTTTTTTTTTTTTTTTTTGTATTACCCAATGTGATAAAACAACCTTAGGAAGCAGGAATGAAACTTTATGCATAGAGCTCAAGCTATAATACTAGCCATAATACATTAGAGTACATACCATRAATCCGTGAAACACTTTGTAAGAATTTGCACAAATTAGTAAGTTCAGTAGACCTAAGTAGACCGGCCTAGAAAACTTTGCAATAATTTATACTATTAATTGCTAACCAAATTTTTCACGGATAGACTCGGGTATGCACCCTATTAATAATAAAATTAACAATCGTAAAACCGTAATACAGTGTGGAAGCACAGTACGATAGAGCAGGCGAAGGCTTTGTGATAGGGCATTTTGATTTAAGAAAAAAAACAACAACAGAACATACATAAGGGATAATCTATATATGGGCGGCATATTTCGGTATCAGTAGGTAGCTTTTCAAAGATGAGTATAGAAAATTACCTTAAAATGGAAAATACGATATGCACAAGGATAGAGATATTCGGAAATACGGAAATCAGTTGACCCTACTGAGACAAAAGGCCAAGATCGATGGGTCCTTTTCGATTGTATCATTTGTTGTTGCGTTTATTTATTTATTTATTTATTAGTTTTATAGCTCAATATTTGTTAGGTAGTACTTGATCTTTACAGACCTGCAAAAAAATGCAGCAATAAATTCCGGTTTTTAATATTCAAAACTTTTTAAAATGTGGCCTTTTTTTGAACAAAACAAACAGGTACTAGTCATGTGGACGCCTGTAGTGACAACGATACTTGAGATGCGTGACAAAAAGCGGGACAAATATGGAATATCGAGACAATAGGTTACCTGTTAAAGGTCGAYCTTGTACTGATCGTTTCCAAGGTGATTTTGATTTTACGGTTTTCCCTTTCTCTTATCCAGAGGAATGATCTTTGAAATTCGCCGGCTCTATCCAGTTGTCAGTATGTGATAGAAAATGGGGGTTGGAAAATAAAAGGCTCGAAAACGCTTCCTCTTTTCAGCGCTACTGAAAAAAATTCCCCCCCTCCACACACACACACACACACAAAGGAAAAGGGGATAAAAAGAAAGAAAATTAAACCGAATAGCCTGAGGCTGTTACGAACTATATAAAGTTATATTATTACTCAACTGAAGAACATTTTGAATTGTTTCAGCTTCAAAAAAGGTGCAATTAACAATATAGAAACTTCATTGAGAATGAAACTTTTCGTATTGACAACCTCTACCTCATTTTCCCCTTTTTTTATTTTGAGAAATGTCATTTAAGTTTACGATGTTTGTAAACAATTTTTTTTTCTTTTTACTTTCCAATATTTACAATTTTTTTTTCTTTTTACTTTCCAATATTTTCTATTTTCTTGCATTTACTGATTGGCTCATTCGCAAATTAAGAAATTAAATTGATATTTGTGTCAGATTATGTTTTTTAAGGATAAGAAAAAGTGATTTGAAATGAGAATATCATCGTGTTGGTAAAGCTCCAATCAGAGGCGTGAGTTTTAAGAGCTATGTTCTGTTGTMATTACATTGTTTTGGTTTAATGGTCTAATACGATTGGATCATAATTATAAACATAACTTGGATACAGACAAACCCTTGGAGGACTGAATTATTGATACTSGCAATTTAGATTGACCAATCGCAGCTCGGGTATAATCAAATCATTGGTTCAATTTAGATCTTGAGGACATTAAGGTGGAGGTCATTGAGCAAAAGAGCTCGCTGAAGACGGGAGTGGCCAACGACAGCACATTCATCACGGCACAAAATAGTTCAGYTCTGCAGTTTTAACGGAGTTYGTCTTGGAGTTGCATTAGTTACTGCAAKATTTCGGCATCGCTGGTTCCAGCCATGATAGCTTTGTTATTCTCAATCACGATAGTTTTTGGTAGTTTGCAGGTGGGACCGGTTTATTCGGGCACGGTTAACTGGGCGCGAAGTCTAAACGATGAAACATGGACCCACCACAACTACGCATCAACCCTTGCTTTTCTGAAACAACTGACTAAGGAGTATCCCAAAATTACCCATCTGTACAGCATTGGTAAGTCCGTCCAAGGAAAGGAKCTAATGGTTCTGGCATTGTCAAATACTCCCGACAAGCACGAGCCGGGAAAACCAGAATTCAAGTACATTGGCAATATGCATGGTAACGAGATAGTAGGCAAAGAACTACTGCTGAAACTGGCAAAGTATTTATGCGAAAATTACAACRAAGACAGTAATATCACCCGGATCATGAACACGACTAGGATTCATTTCCTACCCTCCATGAATCCAGATGGCTACGAGCTTGCGTTCCAGGGAGATAACAGGAAGAACTGGATTATTGGTAGGAATAACGCTAACAATGTCGACCTTAACCGAAACTTTCCCGATCAGTTTGYGAAAACGCCCACTGGAGCTCCACAGCCCGAAACCAAAGCCGTTATGAAATGGATCCACAAAATCCCTTTYGTTTTGAGCGCCAACTTACATGGTGGGTCACTCGTAGCAAACTACCCTTATGATGATAGCCCAACAGGACGCAGTGAGTATAGTGCTTCTCCTGATGAYGATGTATTTCAAGATTTGTCTAAAGCCTATTCAGAGAACCACCCCACCATGCATCTGAAAAATCCACCATGGGACTGCCCTGAAGTCCCGCCAGATCACTTTGATGACGGTATTACTAATGGAGCTAAATGGTACAGCGTGTCAGGRGGGATGCAGGACTACAACTATGTCCATTCTAACTGCTTTGAGATCACTGTAGAGCTGGGATGTAAGAAATTCCCTTCAGAAAAGGATTTACCAAAATACTGGGCAGACAACAAGAAACCCATGCTGGAGTTTCTTGACAAGGTATGAAAAAACTGAAATTACTAATTATGTTTCTGTTGGTATGATTATTAGTTTTTTTATATACATTTTCGATATCACTTTTTCCATTTTTCAGTTACTGTTTTATAATAAAGAAAATACTGGAATATTGAWCCATATAGAAGTAATATTATTTCTAGTGTTACTGTAATCAGATGTGACTGCATGATCGCCACGTTCCACAGTTTTCCCCCCCAAAGAAATATAAAACAAAAAAATAAAATAAAATAAAGGCTTTTTCCAAAAAGTTTTGAAAGAATATTATTACAGGTTTTTTTTTCGGGTATATTGTTTCGAGTATTTACCCGCTTTTTTGTTTGTTTTGTTTTAAGGTTCACGAAGGATTCAAGGGTTTTGTCAAGGATCGTCATGGTGTACCAATTCCCGGGGCAAAGATCTCGGTGGTTGGCCGCAAAAAGGACGTATTCGCAAGTGCCGATGGAGATTTTTGGAGGCTTTTACTTCCAGGAGAATACAAAGTCAAAGTTTCAGCCGATGGCTTCAAGACAATGTCCAAAAGAGTCAAGGTRCTAAAAGGACCAGCAACCTTGCCTATTGAGTTTGTGCTGAAGAAAGGTAAAAACCAGAATGAGCAACAAGACGATTCCTCCGAAGGATCAAAAAGCAAAGACAAAGAGAGTGACGACGGAAGCTTCGAGGTTTCACCTGAAGATGCTCAGCAACTTATGGCTGGTGGGGGGATGGGGATGCCTAGTATGGGTGGTGGAATGGGCGGTGGTATGGGGGGACAGGRAATGRTGATGGGTGGACAAGGTGGTATGGGCATGATGGGGAACAATATGGGAGGAATGGGTGGTCAAGGTATGGTGATGGGTGGACAACAAGGTATGATGATGGGTGGACAACAAGGCGGTATGGGCATGATGGGAGGCGGCATGGGTGGARGTATKGGTACGATGGGAGGCGGTATGGGTGGAGGAATGATGATGAATGATGCTCAAATGGGTAATATGSCTAATGAAATTACAATGGGAATGCACGGTAAGCCGGCTCCTTCAGACGAAAAATCAACGAACCTGCATAAAGCCTTGGGTGGACTTGAAGAAAACGCAAGTCTTGGCGATTCAAGTGACAGTCTTTCAATTGGAGGACCACTCTTGGACAGCGATCTTGATCGTGAAGCCATGATGTCACCGTACGAGTCAAATTCCAAAGACACAAACGAAGCAGCAGTTGGGATAACTACAGATCGAGATTCAACGACAGACAGCCAAGCATTTACCAATGCCTAAAAAAATATAATACATTATAACTTTTGGATATAAGATACTTTATCTGCACTTGATAACGAAGTTTACACTGCTAATTATTCCAAACAGGAATRTTCACAAAGAGTATATCGCACAAAAGCGAGCAAATAAGGAACACCTAATGTGATCCTCTAATTAATCTATCCGGGGGGGGGGGGGGGTACTCCCCTATATTTGCTATACGGGTATGTGCCGCCCTATAGGGTATGGTTTTTCGGCTTTTGGGTTTTGGGTCTGGGGTAGGGTATCATTTTTTGACATTTGGTCTGRGATAGGSTATCATTTTTGTCTGGGATAGGRTGTACAATTCTTAGTTATAGTCTGGGGTAGGGTATGTAAAATCAAAATTTTAGGTCTGGGATAGGGTTAGGGTTTTGAGGTCCTGGCGGCACACACCTACCCAAGTTGGGTTTGTAGTATCCCCCCCGGGTAATCTATAAGCCCCGTTTATTAACAAGTTAGCAAGCCTTGTACTCTTACTAATAAGTAAGAATAGTAGAGTAGAGTGAATGTAAATGAATCAATCAACGAATAAAGATTTCCATATAAACAAAATCCAATACTGTGACACGAAAGTGAGATTAAGCAACCAAAAACTATTCGTTAATACTTGGATATTAGCACAGGTAGCCCAAGCTTGGTTTCTGTGGTGTCATGTTATAAAAAAATGYATGGGGATTCATCAAAAATTTYAATAAAATCACTGAAACGTGAAATAAAGCCTCGAAATTTTACCCGATCATTGAGAAATAGCACTTCTTTCGCTCTGCGTGGTTWTTTTTTGAATTTAGCCCGTTTTAAGGATTTTTCCCCAGCCAGTARGAAATAAGAAAAGGTTGGAGACTCGAGTCCCAAAAGCGAACCATCACGAGTCTTTGAAACACATTGATGGACAACCTCGGAGGTCAAGAGCAAATGAGCTATTATCGARCTTTTATCCCAGGATGCTTTGCGCTCTGGTGTCCAACACCGTCTGAGTTAACCATAGCAAAACGATGAAATCATTGGTTAAAGGGAGAAATTAATCTTACCTGGTTTTGGGGCTGACTACCCTCTCTCATGCCATAGCATTCAAATGGACTCCCTCATCAGTAATGCATATGGGATCTAGTGGTATTGCGGCTTAAATTTCCATCATAATCGTAAATATGCTATGCGGCGTCATTTTCATTGTCTGGAATTAATCAAGCAAACCTCATTACCAAATTATCTCCACCTTTACTTTTTTTTACCACCACAATGATTTTTAAGGTTGTATTTTACGTCCAAATATGTTTTAGAAAAGTGGTTTTATGYACTATTGATAATTTTTTTGAGATCGAGTCAGAAATAAACAAATTAAGAGGTGCCAATCATATCTGCATGGGTCAATTATTTTCGGTCGTAGCATCTCGAGGCTGACAAAGCAGTTTTTCTTAGGGCATTTTTCTCCCCCTCACTTAATCCACGATTACATTTTAAGAGAGAGCCTACGAGCCTTTCATTTCAGAAACAAAAATATGAGAAATGTGGCAAAAGTATAAAACTGCARTCAGAGGAATTTCTTCCTGACTTCTTACACAGGCATTAAGTCTAGTCTAAAATTCATACGATTGCAGAAACGTTGTAGTATACATTTATACATATATCTAATTTATTCAGTATATTTAATGATATGCAAAACAGAAAAATCGCTTTATTTATTGTTTGTTTCATTCAACGACTGTTGAAATATTCTTATTAGTTCTCTTATTGATCTCACGCTGTGGTTGATGGGAAGGATTTGGTGAGTTCCCGGTGTATCAGGGAAAGGACTTTTTCTCTCTCCTTCCCAAAAGCCACCGCGCGCAAAAAAGCCTGAAACAAATGACGACTGGGTACGAGTCTGGTCATGACTTCTGTTGTGTTTTCCTCATGAATTAT